TTCATTATTTTTCAACCACTCATTTTTCAAAAAAATACTATTCCACTTATTAATTTTTTCACTTAATGGGGGCCAAACAGGGGGATATTGTCTCTTCATATTCTATTCCTGCCCATTAACATATATTAGGTTAATAACGGCGGAAAAAGATATAGTGATCCCGGATTTCTTTCTGATCAACCTTTTTTATTTAAGAATTATCACGGTATTTTAATGTTTAATTTTTTGTTTTTTTTTTTTATAAATTTGGCATCTTATTTGTTTGAATTATTTGTTAATTTCTCATGGTAAGTTGCTTTGAGTATCGTAATTTTACACTTTCTGGTTCTTTATTGTGATTGGATTACGATGGAAATATGGAAAGATATGTCCTGAAACTAGTGAAAATTTGAAAAACCAGAGATAATATATATTTTTTTCAATCTTTGAGATTTTAAATTTTCTTGTGGCTGTGGACCTCTAGTTTTATAACAATTGGTTAATTGATAAATTTCTGGTATCAGGCGTTCTGATTGAGACATCATTGAATACGCATCAAGTAATTCCTTATATGACCTTTCTTGATTGCAACGCAGGGTTTGGGACTTGGAAGTTAGATATGCTTAGTTATTAGTTATATCAACTGGAGTTCCTGAATTTTGGATGATTATGAATTATGAGTTAGGGTTTTAGATTAACTGTAATATTTTTCTTACAGGTGGAATCCGTAGGAAGAAATTTGAGCCTGTATTGATTTGTAACCAGTGCCTCGAAGTCTAAGTATACCATGGATCGTCAACTGGGAAGAACATTAGAAACGAACCCCAAGGACATTATGTGCCTCACAAAGAAATTTTCACGGAGATGTCTCCAAGAAGTCCCTTGCTTATGTTGGGGAGAAAACGCGTGGGTTGACTTTGGCTAACAACAATCATGGAATTGAGAAACCGCAGCTAAAATGGACACAAGTATTTACGTGGTTCACCCAATTTATATTACGTCCACGAGCAAGTATGGGAGGATTCACTATAGTAGGAGAATTACAACACTCTCTCTAAATACAAGAAGATAACAACAAAAAATCTCTCTTGTAATTAGGAGAAAACAAGTAGGAAATACCTACGAGAAAACAATAATTTTTCTCTCTACTTCACCATTTTTTCTCTCTACTAGAGGAAATTTTTCTCTCAATTTTCCCTCTCCATACGCACGGCTCTTTTTCCTTCAACTCTTGCTTCCTTTTATAGAGAATTTTTTGCTGCCTAGTTGCTTCAAAAAATTCAAGAAAGATGGCTGTAAATGGGCTGTCAAATGGCTAGAGCAATACTGGAAGTTCCACCGCCCCAGTTGCTGGAAAGGTCAAGAAAAATTGGCTGAATTTTCTTCAAGTATTTTGGCTGAAGAGGAGCAATCAAAATTGCCAACTTTTCATTTTCATGCTTGCAGGTTTCTTGCTTGGTTGTCAAGTAATTGTCATGGTAAAAAAAGGTGGCTTTTTTCAACATTTTCCCCCACTTAAAGTCACTTTGGTTGACCACTTCAATCCTTCCCATACTTGTCATTTCCATGTTACTTATGTTTTCGCTAGGCCGAAGGAGGATCGACACCATATGAACTTGTTAGTACTGATTGGCTTTGTCAACATATCTGCTAGGTTGTCTGCTATATGGATTTTCTGTATATCCACACTTCCTTCTTCCACCTTTTTCTTTAACAAAGTGATATTGAACTCGAATATGCTTTGTGCTCTGATGAAATGCTGGATTCTTTGCCAAATGCAAAGCGCTCCGATTAACACAAAATAGAGCAATCTTCTCTAATTTGTATCCGAGCTCGTTCATTAACATTTGTAACCAGATTTTCTCTTTGCTAGTTTGTGTAGCTGCCACGTATTTTGCCTCCGTCGTTAAAGTAGTCACGATAGACTGCAATTTTGAAACCCAACTTACAGCTCCTCCAGTAAGAGTAAACACACATATTGTGGTGGACTTGCTTTTGTCAAAATCACCTACATAATTTGAATCAACATAGCCTCTGACAATAAAATCTGATCCTCCAAAACATAATGTAGCACTTGAGGTACCCTTGGCATATTTCAGAATCCTCTTTACAGTACTCTAATGTTCTTTACCAGGATTTGCTATGTATCGACTAACAGCTTCCACTGCTTGTGCAATGTTTGGTCTTGTACAGATCATAGCAAACATCAAACTACCCACTGCTGATGCATACGGTACTCGGGGCATCTCCATCCTTCCTACTTCGCTGCTAGGGCTCATACTTGAGGATAACTTGAAATTAATAGGAAGAGGGATAGAAATTGGCTTACAATCTTGCATATTGAAGCGATGCAAGATTTTCTTCAAGTAGTTCTTCTGACTAAGCCAAATCTTCCTATTATTTTTGACTCGATAAATTTGCATATCTAGAATCTTGTTTGCCGGTCTCAAGTCCTTTATTTCAAACTCCCTAGCCAATTGAGCCTTCAAATTTTCAATACGATCTTTGTTGGGGCCTGCTACCAACATGTTGTCAACATACAACAACATATTTGGCTTAGTTAGAAGAACTACTTGAAGAAAATATTGCATCGCTTCAATATGCAAGATTGTAAGCCAATTTCTACCCCTCTTCCTATTATTTTTGTCTCGGTAAATTTGCAACCCTAGAATCTTGTTTGCCAATCCCAAGTCCTTTATTTCAAACTCCCTAGCCACTTGAGCCTTCAAATTTTCAACACGATCTTTGTTGGTGCCTGCTACCAATATGTCATCAACATACAACAGCAGAATAATGAAATCATTATCACCAAATACCATGTAGTATGCACATGGATTTGAATTGAGTCTGTTGTATCTAGGGCTCATGATGAAGAAATCAAATCTCTTATACGAACATCTCGGTGCCTGTTTGAGATCATATAGAGATTTGTTCAACCTTCAAACCAAGTTCCATTTTCTTTTTCCTTTAAAATCTCCTGGTTGAAGCATAATAATTTCTTCTTCAAGTTCTCTGTGAAAAAATGTAATTTTCACGTCTAACTGCTCCAGATGTACATCGCTGCTGATTATCACCTTGTGGCCAGTGGGAACCACACATGTGGTACCCCTTCACTCCATCAGCATACCCTAAGAAAATACATTTTCTAAATTTTGGATCCAGCTTTGATGTTTCTTGGGTGTTGTACATAACGTACACGGGACTTCCTCCATTGTCAGTCCTCAGACACTTGATCTTTTTTTTTTCAACTTCAAGCTTCACACACGCTTTGAGTATTTTGAAGATTGCAAACCCGTTTGCCTTCCTTTTGATTGGATACACCCAACATCTCCTGGAGTAATCATCAATAAAAGATACAAAGTATCTTGCACCTCCT